TAGGGACGGTGTAACGAAAACTTTGCAGGCGTGCTCAGACCATGAAACTGAACAACTTTTACTATGGAGCCAATGGTGGGAAACGAAAAAAATTTTCCGACCTCCCATACAAAGTCAGTCAGCTGATTGTGAATTTTGTATGGGAGGCCGGAAAATTTTTTTCGTTTCCCACCATTGGCCCCATAGTAAAAGTTGTTCAGTTTAATGGTCTGATCATGCCTGCAAAGTTTTCGTTACACCGTCCCTAACACCCTGTATATGTTTTGTGGTGTTATCGCCGCATCAAAACTTGGAATGTCTACAACATGTCTACAAGTACAACTGACTACAAGTTGTCATTTTATCAACATTTCTACTTTTACAAGCTGCCATTTCTATGGAGGCTATCACGATAATCTCGAGCCGCACTATCGTCCGGAGATTATGCGATTATGCAATTTGACTCTAACCGAAAATGGCCGAAGTCAAATGCACATCATTATTTTTTGTTGTTATAATAACAGTTGACATTGTTTAACCAATCTCGAATCATAGCAGAATTCATCACGTAAGATAATACCTAATGTTAATTTGTACCAGGAATTACATGCAGTGTCGGCATTGTATTGCAAAGCTATGCAGGCATAATACCAACGTAATTGGTTAATTCATTATTGTATTGGCAGTAGACCGAATTTTGGCCGCGACCCGTTCTCACCCTGTCCTTCACACGATTGAGTCAATTTCTAGTGTTGCCAGGTGCTTTTTATTTCTATAGTTTTCAAGTCAAACATTGTTTACTGTTTCCACAGAAAAACCTCGCACAAATAACGATTGGAGTCGAGAATTCCTTTCACCGGTCTGGTTCAGTTCAGTCTGGTTTGATCCAGTTCGTTAGTAAGCTGTCACAAAGGAGTGTTGTATAGAAGTGAAGCTTCGTATTGTACCTATTGCGTTGATATGGTTGGATTTGTTAAAAGTTTTGGCACCAAACGTATCTGAATCAATTTATATCGTTTTCTTTTTACGATTCGTGTTTGTAGAGGAAATGTAATGTACCAACTCATACTGGATTTTCATATAAATACTTAAAAAAACAGTATAAGTTGTTCCCATAAATAAGTAGGTAGATTTGCGGGCGATAGTATGTTACGTGTAGTATAAATCAAATATACAATAAAGTACCTACAAAATTCGCTCATAAAGAAAAACAAAGAGTTACGATAATAAGAAAATATGAAGTTCTTTCTACACCTTATAATTCCACAAATTCATTTTATTACCTTCTTGGCGTAATATATCGAGGGTAGGGACCGCCGCAAGTTATACCAATGAAAAAGTCAGTATAGTAATCTTAAACTTATTTTTGTAATTTCTTTATTGTAACATTCATCATGGAAGCCTACTAGTAAGCCAGTAGATAGTTCAAAAACTTTGATACTTAGGTTCATCGGGTCGGCTCGTCAACTGGGTAACTCACATGACAGTAGAAGAAAAAGAGTTACAATTTTCAGCTCATATTTTAGTCTACGACTATTAGAAGAAAATAAAGTTTGTAATTTTAACTGAACATAATAATATTAAGTTTATTATAGCAGTCAAAACACAGTGAATCATGGCCCCTAATAACTAACATGGAGTATTAACCCACGCCCACCGTTTGTTGACCGCATTAAGCTTTTATGCTAAATAGGTTATAACTTTTACGGTCAACCAACTTTTCAAAGAGACGTTTTTCAACGGCCGGTTTAGACGTTTAGTCCAGCCTTATTAGGCATTTAAAAAAGAAATTAGATTTTTTAAGAAATAATATATTTTCAAAGAACAGTTTATAAGTCAAAATTAACATTTCCAAGTAAATATTAGAAAAAGTCAAGAACTTTCAGACTGTCCAAACCAACCTCGTTTTCACTGTATAAATTAAACGCAAAGAAAATTGTTTCCAACAGGGAATACCTTAATATTTATTGCGAAACTTAGTTTAACTTTGGATTTCATTTGAATAACGCTTTTTAATTTGAAAGCCAGGAATGAAACAATAATATTATGCATTGAATAATGTTCCGGATAAAATTATAAACTCTAGCTGACTTTTTTAAGAGCAGACGTGGTTTTTAAAAATGCAAAATGTACAGGTTTTGTTTAAAGATTTAATTTATTTTCCTGAATTGCAAAAACTATGGAAATATTTTATTTTACTTAATGCGTATGAAAATTGATAAAACTTAATTGAATTTGTTGCATGAATAATCTCCGTACGTGTAATTAAAACGTGGAATCCTTGAATACTATCGTATGTAAAATGAATGAATACTATCGTAATTTTGAATAGTGCTTACTAAACGTAAAATATTTTTTATATTCCGGCACTCTGATCTGTGACTAAATTTTACGCAGGTGAAATACTTCCCTAAGAGAGAGAGTATTAGGTCATAGAAACAGAACATATGTAGTAAAATACCTTCGCGCTGCAAAGGAATCTCGGTCAGGCTGCAAGGAAGTTTCCGGCGGTTTTAAACATGCACTGCTAGTAATGACATTAGTGATGTAGTCCCACTCTGCGACTGTTAAATTCTTGTCAATAACAAGAACCACGAAATTAGTATATGTTGATTTAAGTATGACACGCCACAGCATACGTCTGTAAAAGAAAATTTTTTTGCGACATTTTTATTTTATTTTATGTAGGTAGTTATAGAGCGGCGGGGCAAAATCGAATCAAAAATACCATTCAAATCGTGTAAATAATAGATAGTGAAAACGAAAGTGTAAATATATGATATTTCCTGCAAAAGAGTTATAAAAGTAGTATTAAAGGTTCAATAAATAATTTGCCATAAAGAAAAATCCAATAAGACACGACCGAATAGCGAAAAGTTTGTGCCTTCTATATTTCAACGCTGCGATGTCATTTATATGAAGGGACCGTTCCCAGACCCATATCACATACCTACATACAACAATATACGAAAAACAGATAAATGGATGTCATTTGTTACAATCATACGATTATCTGCAACCAAGGATGGTTTAATCTGTCTCTTCCAAGTCTATTCATTTATCCATTCAAAGAACCGAGAAAAGCTGCCTCTTCATACAGTTACAAAAAAAAACAGTACATTTTGATCCCACAAATGACTTCAGGTGATATGTCCATAATACTAGGCATTATCCTACTAATATTATAAAGGCGGATGTTTGTGTGTGTGTTTGTTACGACATCACGAAAAAACGGCTGATTAGATTGACATGAAACTTTGCAGAAATATAAAAAGGCATCTGGAATAACACATAGGATACTTTTTACCACGGAAAAATGTCTCATTCCCACGGGATCACGCATTTTCCAATATTTTTGAAATAGGTGGCGTGACTGAGCCGATTCGCGTTTTAAACATTTTCGGCGAAAACTAACAGCGACATCTCTTGGCGAATAATGCTTTCTTCCCGCGGAATAACAGGTTGCAGCGGGTGAAACCGCTGACGGGCAGCTAGTGAAGTCATAATCTAATGGTCATATAGTACTCAGCACATCCCTAACGTGAGTTGAGACATTCACACTAACGATGTGTACGAGAGAAAGTCGGTATACAACAAAATGAACTTTAAAACAATGACAAAAGGTCGGTGTTCCGTTGAAAAGTTGAAAGGGATAATTAGATAGCTGAATTTACTTTGATGTGCCGCCCATTGATGTAATGTTGGTACTAATTATGATCCCGATGTATACCTTATACATCACTGTAGTGTGACACCTTATCATTATCTGATTAATGGTTTTATGTTTCAGGTACACCTACGTTTGGCAGTGTGTAGGACAAAATCAGGTTAGGTAAGATATTTACACTAAAATAAAATGTTAAAATAAACTGGGTACTTGCTCTATATGCTATAGGCAAGGGGTAATACTTTCATGCAGCTTTATTTTTTACAATTGACTCAAAGCTATGCTCCTCGCCATTATTTGGCACTATTTTTATAAAACCAAGCTTTTTTGTATTTTATATGAAATGCGGTTGCATATTAAAGCTAAAAACGTAAATACCGTGATCAACAAATGTTCCAAACACCCGCTGTAATAAATCTCAGACCGCGAAATTCACACTCATATTTATTGTAAAACTCATTAAATTCAACACGCAAAAACGCAAGCACAGCATACATACACAACACACCTAATATTTATACCAGATGTTATACACAACACATGTAATATTTATACCAGGTGTTATTAGGTGTGCTGTGTTGTGTATGTACCTTAGATTGCGTTGCTTTCAGGGGTTGAACCAGCCCATGAAACCAACCACTTCGGAACAAAAAGTGTGAAAAAAATATGACCTACCTTGGAGAAACATTTGGTCAACATTACCTTATTAATTTATGAGAAGTTCAAATATCTCTTTTTTAATTCTTAGATCTATATTCCTTAGGGAAAGGAACTCAGTTATTCAGATTGGACCATCCCATAGAAACGTATCAATTTTCCTGACATCCTGTATTCAAATGGATGTGAATTAACTGATCACGCATCTCATTAAGGAAATAACATTTTCAGCGATATTAGTAGCTCTAAATCACGCATGAGGTAGTTTATATTGTGTGAAATTATCATAATAGAGCTGTATAATATGCAGTTATTGTTGCATGACTACAACATATTTATATTAGGCCTATAACTAGAAGCAATGAAAGCAGTGAGACTGCTGATTTATTATTTGAACCTGATATTTTGTGTGAAATTATAGATATGTTATACACAAATGTGCAGAAGTTAAAACATCTCTCTCTCTCTCTCTCTCTCTCTCTCTTTCTCTCTTTTCGTGTGGGACACCGAGGCATCCAACGATCTGATGAACCCTGCTATCAGAGTTTTATAACCGCCTACTACAAATAGCAGTCATCTGACATGGTTGCATAACGACCGCTGTCTAAGTAATTATAGACAGCAAGCGAGACCGACAGCTTAACGTGATCCCTGATGCATGGAACCATCTTGCTTTTCGGATAATAGCTTTGTTACTGACCCACCGAGAATTGAACCCGAAACTTTCTGCGTCGCAAGCAGTTGCACTACCACTGTGCCAAAGCGGGCGAAGAAAGCATGACACTTTTGTATTCCGCAAATTACGATTCCACTCGATTTCCGATAGAAGCAACGATCTGTCTTTGTTATGTTACAGGAAATTGTATGTTGGTCCGTCACAAATTAACAATGCGTAATTTTATTCAAAACGGTTCCATTATTGTTATCTAGATTGGAATCAAAAAAGATAAAGTGAACTAACCCAAAGAATTAGAATAAACGAAAGACACGTATCGTTATTATTAAAGTGCGAAAACGTCCACTGCAACATGTAAAAGTACTAGATATAGAGTGACAAGTAGATATTGAAAGTCTATCTGAAAACAAGTAGATGTATCAAAAAACAAAAAACCCAACTGCAATAATTTAAAAGTAGTATTTTGCTGTACAAATCCGCCGTCTTGAATCAATAAATTTTTAATATATCCAACGTCACTCGCACTGCTGAGACGAATCTAACGACATCTCATATGTCAAAATCCAACTATCCGTTTGGGCTGTAGCCCGTAAAAAAGAATTTCTTGTCCACATACATACATACATACTCTCGAAAAACATAACCCTCCTTCTGTGGCAGCCGAGTAATTATTTTAATTCGCTACCAATGCCATAGCTATAGGTACATCAAAATATACATACCTCACCGCAATCAAGATGCCTACATTAAGCAAAGGGAATTAGGACAGGAAACATAAACGCTAATGCTTCTTAATGCATCAGATAGGCCCTCGATCCTCTGATAGTGATGGGTTTAACCATATTACAGGTTATGTAGCTTAGATGATGCCAGACTAATTATCGGTAAACTTAGTTTAGTATGTGTCCGAAGTAATATCATAGTTGACCTACGATAATTTTCGTCTATACAGGGTGTTAATTTAAATGCGTGCCATAGCTTCAGGGTAGGTTAAGTATCGAATAAGGATGCCGTAAAAATACAACGCGCACAAGTTCCAATCTCATACATTGTTCGTAATTCCTATTTTTAGAATGTACTAGAGATAATATACCGATTTACTAATGAAACAGGGGAAAATGGAAGAAAGGGAAGGGCCTTTGCCCTGCAGTGGAAAGACACACGCTAGCAGTACCACTAGGGATAGTCAAGTTTACTCAAATATTAAAATGATGGCTATTGCGTCTATATACTATTGGGTTACTGTTGGGTAACTGTTTATAATAAAGTTTGAAACAATAGCCTGTACATAAAAGGGTGGATTAAAGAGGCTCAGTTCGACACCAGAACAGCAGCTACTGTTACCCTGAAGTCAGGGCCCGATTTGCCATACATTGCTGGTTATCTTGAGTTTCCATATTATTACGTGCTTTGGAGGGCACGTTAAGCACTCGGTCCCGATTGCTGTCTATGATCACTTTGATGGCGGTCATTACACAACCGCGTGAGAGGCCTACTACTTGCAGTAGGCGGTTGAAAAACTCTGTCACCAGGGTTAATCGGGTCGGTGGACGTCTTGGTGTTCCACTCGAATAAGAAGAGAATATTATGACGCCCACACAGTAACCAGCAGTATATGTCAAATCTATCAGCTCGACAGGGCAGTGTAATAGCCACTTATAAGTAGCGTGAAAAAAGCCCTTTCAATAAGGGATGATGTCAGCAGATTTTTTATGAATAAAATTTTAAAGGTTCGGTAATTATGATGGACAATGCCCCAGGGAGTTTGCTCTGAAAGGTGCTGCAAAATCAAACGTATTTCTCGCACGCCCTTGATCATAATTTATTCATAGAATTATTGAACCCTTTTTACACCTAAAATAGTATTGGATTTGTATTGTAGCGTTCTTACCCAGGATCTGTTTTCTGTTAATAATGATCACTTTTTTTGCTATAATGTCGTAAAGGTAGCTGGTAGGCACTGTTAAGCCAATATTATAGGTATTAGAGCTCTTTTATAGTACCGTCATTCGAATAGGCCATATTTGACAGATGTCAAAATCATGTCTTATAATATTGTTTTTCTTTGTTGACATGTTTCCTAGTATGGGTTTGACAGCTGTCAAATATGGCCTATTCGAATGACGGTACTTTAAGAAGCGTTTTGTTTTGAAACTGACAACGCTGACAACAAAGTTCTTCGTACCTATCTTTCAAATCTTGGAGATTTTGTCATAGACGCTGTGTCACATTCACATATAATTTGCACGCATTAAAATGTTAAGATTTTGAGTGATTCTGTATATTCTAAGTAGGTAAGTATCTAAGTATACGAGGCACATGAGAGAAAATTTATTAATGATCAAGAACAAAAGAGGGGCTTGAATGAAATTTCGCCGAGATTGAGGAAGTCATTAAGAGTCTAGGGCAGCGCAGTCAGGTGTCGAAACAATGTGAACGTAGCCTTAGTAGTCTTCCTCCTGAAAGCCCAAGTACCACGTTAATAATTGGAGTAATTGCACAATTTACGCCAGTTTAAGCAAAAATATTCGGTAGCGTGGTCAAACCGGGCGTCGAAATTATTTTAGCACATTTTGTTTTTCGGGTATCTTTTCTCACGATTGTAGAATCGCTCACATTTTTATTTCCTCATATGCACTACTTTATAAAGTATGTGCCCATTTATTAATTATTCCAAAATATCAAATCATTATTTTTTAATTAAATGCGCAACTATCCGTACCAAAAAGGATATTTGCGCAGGTTTTTTGGACGGATAGTTGCGCTTTGGGGGATAGTTGCGCAGATTGATATTTTTGTTTATTTTTGTATGTTGCAGATGGATAAAATGCTTCTAAATTACAGTCTAGATATAGACGTTGTTCAACATACATTTTTATGCTACCTACGTGTTGATACAATTTTTTTACTGAAATAATGACTTAGCACTCAATAACTTTAGAAATAGTAATAATATTAAGGTTCGGAGGCCTATTCGATTTTTAAAATAAGTATTTAATCAAATTAATTTCAAATTGGTTTGATTTAAATAAAGTACAAATTTCATAGTAAGTCATCTAGGTAATCTTCAAAGCGCAAGTATCCCCCCATGATTTTTTAGAGCTGCGCAACTATCCGTGCGGGTGCGCGACTATTCCTTTTTCTAGAGGTCAAATAAAACTGGATTTACAACAAAACAATAAAAATTAAATTCATGAATTAGGGCTTTAATGAAAGATTAAAGATCAATCCTCTAATCTGCAAAGAAAATTTTGTAAATAAGTTCTTAATTATTGAGTTATAGACCATTTTCCAAAAGGTGCGCATCTATCCGTACTTTACCCTAGATTATATTATATTGCAATCTTACAATCTTATTTTAGAAAAATAGTGGCTTTACAAAAAAAAAGATAGCCGAACGCCTACAGGTTTTTTTTGTGGTATGGCCACTAATTTTTAATGATTGTAACCTGCTCCAAGTATTAACACTTTAAACAAGACATAATGCCCAACAATTTATCTGTGTTTTCATTAATGTTGTACATTTCGTCTGAAACGTTGCAATTTATCTAACGACTTTTCTGAGAGTTCGTAATGTCGTAACAATAAGGTTCAAAATGGATTCTAGTAAAATATTTTTGTGGTGTCTGATATATTGAAGTTGGAAATTGCTTTGTTTGGGCCAAAGATTTACCACCATCATCTTTTTCAGCCCATATAAATACCGTAATCCTTACAAATAGAAATTTCATTGAAGTAATTTTATGACAAAGCTCATACAAATTATCTCACGTCAAATACCGTGTAAGCGTACATTGTTTGAATGTTGAATCAAAAATGTCCCTCGTCATAATTACATTAATAACATACGAATGGAAAATTACACGGTTGAGGTAGAGTGGGTCCGATTCCACCAATCAGGAACGTGAAATTCTACCACATAACACTGGAATTTGACTGGTCATGTTTTTGGTGTCAATTTTATAAATACATTCAAGCGCATCATAAAATTACACTGAAAGAGAACCTTACTTTACATTTACAGCCACAGCAGTCCACTATTCCAACAAGCCACAACAGTACCCACCATGCCATACTCACCACGCTAGGCAACTGCCTAGCCTTATAAACCAGGGAATAGAAAGTAGTGTTCCCTGTAAATTAAACATATTCCTTGCAATGCTTTCGCCAATCCAACTGGATACTAATTTCGTCGCTTTTTACGACACCCACGGGTAGAATCCGGGTGATGTTTTTCTAATCTAAGCCGGCATCAAACGGCAAAAGAACCTTTTTAGAAAGTCTAAAAAAGAACGAAGGATTCTCAAATGATTTTCTCAGTTGATTTCACTTGAACTCACGTCTGTCACCTTGATCTAGAACGATCTCATAACGGCCAAAGGGATCGAGATCGAGAAGAATTTATCTTTTGAAATATTCCGATGAGTTTGAGAACCGTTTGAGTTCAAGAGATATCTTAAAGTCTTTTGTAGTGTTGTCAGACATGACGAATTAAATATTTTATCGTAATGGTTATTGGAGTTGGAAGCCCAAGATCGAGACGGTTAGCGCGAAAGAAGGGCCTTTGCCCTGCAGCGGGATATTACACAGGATACATTTAAAAAATGGTTACGTTATGCTCCCATTTCGTACTTATATTTTCATGGACGTTGTGAATATTAGAATTCTGATAGTTTGGTCAAATAAAACTTGTAATCTTATGTTTTATGGTTAGGTAGACCTAAGCTAGACAATAACGTAGGGTAAAAAAACATACTGACATAAATAATTTGTCTCACATGTCAAAATATATTTGACAGGTACAAGACAAACACTGTAAGTATTTTTAGTGCTCTCGAATCGGCTCTATTATCACGGAAACGGCGCGCGGATCGCATTTTCAGATGGCTCACTCAGTACTAGCGACGATTTCGGCGCTTACTGGCTTTCACTGGAAATAACTGAAATCTCAGGGGAACTCAGGTAAATAAGATGAAGCTTGCCATGAACGTCATATTACTTAGATTAAAATTGGCTCAGAATCATATGATGTTTTCTGGTGTCAGATTTTGCTGTTTTGATAATCTTCTACTTTGAAGTTTTTGTTTGACAG